TCATGTAAACCAAGCCATCAAAAACTTCTGTGTGTAGGGTAAAACCGGGATAGAAGCCCCAGCGGGATAGATGCCTCATATACTAAAAAGCTTACTTCCCGAACTTGTTACTAAGAATAAATTCTATAAGTAGGAGTCGCAGTCACCTCGTACATCATTTACCCAAGAACAGTTGTGCGATGTAGTTGTGCGTGTATTTATCTCCGCGACGTCATTCAGGAACACGTCAAAGGTTCAAAGGTTAGTATTTTGCATTGTATAATTAGTGATAAATTTCGTTATATTTTTCATTACGTCAATATACTGGTTCATTGAGTCTACGTCTAGGTGCAAATAGATTTTTTTTCATAATTTATTAAAAAAAATACTTGGGAATCTATCCCTATCATAAAGGATAGTTGCCCTGATTTTTCGAGGTGTAGGTGTAGGTGTAGGGGCATCTATCCCTCCATACACTGTCATTTATGATTACAGCAGAACTATGTCACGAAATTATAAAAGAAAGGAAGGAGTGCGAGCTCGAGTATGTTCGTGGACCATAGAAAACCTACTACAGTCAGTTTTCGATAAAATGGACAAGAAAACCATGGGGATAAAGGAAATATCCCGACAATTTAGGATTCCATCGAGGACATTGCGAAGCCGATATGCTGCTAGAAATACAACAAAGTTGATCCTGGGTATGTATCAAAGATCATGTACTACACGACATTACAAACTTTCAATTAACCAATTATTGAATATTGCTGAACTTCTATCCCAACACTAAACCATTATTTTTAACACCTCGACACGTAGTTTCGTTTTCCTTTTGAAGATGATCACTTGGTCATCGAAACACGTGTCGAGGTGTTAACAATAACGATTTGGTGTTGGTATAAAACTCCAGTAATATTCATTACTATACCAAAAGTTTCAAATAGTGTATCACAAGTAACTAATTGATGTCTCTAGTTTCCAATATATACATTAACGTAAACATTTTTTTTTAGGAAAACATCCTATTTTGGATTTTGACAACAAGAAAAGGTTCAGGTGCACGGTTCAGAAGTTTCATTGAACGAAATCCGGAGCTGTCTATCAGACACGCTGGAGATTTATCCGTGGCTAGAGATAAAGGTCTTAGTAGAGAAGATGTCAATAACTTCTATGATCTTTTGATCAAAGTTCTGACCCAAAATGCAAATGGATGAAATAATGAAGATATCTTCATTATGTTATTTTAATATAAAAAAAGGAAGATTGTGTGATATACATGTTGAAGCTCAAGAATTTATACTGTTGTTGAATAAATAGCTCATTTTTGCAAAATCTGTATTCGATAGGTTGAAAAATAATGACAACAATTCAACATAAAAAATTGAGCTAGCCACATTATTGATATTATTCCTATAAAATTAATATTTTTCAAATTAGGTGGTTATTTCAAAAAGTGCGGCATCTATCCCGTTTTTACCTTGATGCTCTTGCGAAATGACACTTCGAAACAGTATGGAATCATAGAGACTTTAAAGAATAGGCATTGACCAGAATCCATCCCAAAGGAAACCTTTCAACCACTAGTCCCTGCCTTATGTCAGAGGACATTCAGAAAAGGAAAAAGAATTGGATAAGATTAAGACATATCATGGAAACCAAGGCATCAAACACAGAAACAGAAAACAGCTCTCAATATTGCGTTTATCCGAAATCTTGGGCGGTAAGCCCTATATATACATTAGTGAAACTGAGAGGAATAATATTTCACGAAAGAAACCTGTAAATCGGGAATATCGGTACCTTTTCCCACCCACTAAAATGGGGAGAAACGCTAGTATGGAGATCAGCAAAGTGTGGAAGCGGGTAAATGAACCGCACGCACTAGGCAGGAAAATCGCCCGATCTGCAAAGAAGAAGAAAGGGAAAAAATTGAATGATCAGAAATGAGGCAGTCATCTTCCATAGACTTTTGTTCACATCAGCAATCGAATTTTTGCAAAATAACTCGGTATGAAATAACTTATTTTTCGTGTTTTACTATTCTGTCTTTCTTTTTATAACTGACATCAATGACATGATTAAATATGTTCACTTCTTTACTAATCGACCGAATATTTTGATAAAAACGGTTATTTAATCCCTTGATAGTTTATATTTTCAAACTTGTCAACACTTTTCAGACCCCATAACAATAAAATGTTTATTCACTTATTGTATAAATCAATACTTACTGTATCATTCATTTGTTTCATTTTTTATACTTTTAATCTGCTATGTTCTCACACTTGTAGTTTTAGGTAATACCTTACTTGGCCTATATAATGGGTTTTTATATAAATATTGAGATGTGTATGTTAAGATGTGTATGTTTTATCATTGGAAGAAAATAATTATCACGAAAAATGAGAAACTTTCTAAAAAACATAGAAAGTTTCAATTCTCATTTTTCATGATGATTTCCTACCACGTAGTAATGGCTACATCCATCAATTTATATAATTATCAATTATGCAAAATGACCACCTGCTCCAATAAATAAGTAATCAATAGTTAATTTGAGATGTCTCAACATTTTTCATCACTGATTCGTAAGTGCTATCAATGGAATTTGAATGTTCATTAAAAGTTTATTATTATCAATATCCTCCCACAAGGAACATATGAAAATATATCTCCGCCAACCGAAATTACATTCTGGACTGAGTCATCCTATTTCGTGTTATCTCGAAACATAAACTAGATTCACATTGAGTAAACGAAATGAAAACTTGATACAAATTTAATTGCGGGTCATTATAGCCACTTTTAATTTCGACTATAAATATCTAATACCCAAGGATACCAGATTATATATTACAACTTCTGTTGTTTCGTTTCGTGCTCCGCCTACTGCTTTCTTTAATATAATTAATATTGGATGGGTACCTCACGGATTTCGATATTATCTAGATGCGGTTTGTCGAAGATACAGACATTCAAATCCAGAGCGGTATTAACAAGATTTCAATTTGCTGACAAGAATACGACTAGGAAATTTGCATTGAAGAAAGTCGCTGTAAATGTAAAGGGGAGTGTCATTGTGAACTCTTATGAAGGGTAGCTAAACGAAAAGAGACAGAGTTTCATAAGCTCCCGTCAATTTTTGATTGAAGGGAATACTCTTTTCCGGTATTCTTGACTTTAACAATTCAATTCCAAAATAATACAAAAGGAATCAAGGAAGATTGTGTTATTGGGATCTTTCAAAGATACATCAAGGGGTAAGAATCTGGTGACTTTGGAGACTAATCAATACTACCTCTTCTTTCATCTTCAAATTAAATTTATTTGAATTCCGATTTGGATGACTCTGAATTGAGACAAAAGGCAGCATTGGATGGCCTTCAGGGATACCAGATTTGCAGCCAAGTGATTTCTTTTATTACAGTACTTGAAAATGGAATCTGTGTTACACAACCAGCATCTTCATAAGATTTGCATAAAAAATTGTGGTCGAGTACCGTCGACATTTGATTGTAAGTAAGTATGTATCGTTAATTGTTCACAAAACTATTGACTTGAATTCAGAAACTCAAAAAAATTCACTATCGTGAAGATAATTTCAACAACTTAGTCAACTACCGTGTTCTTTGGAAACTTCGGGGTGATTTTCAATCCGCTTGGGAATGGGCAGGTAGTTAAAAAATAACGCAATAGATTATTCTCCTTCAATCAAAAATCAATAAGTGAATTTCCTAAAATGATGAACCGGTTCCTATTGACGGCTCTGCTTTGTACTGAGTACCCATATCTTTCGATACTTTAAAACGTATACGTCCTCCTCGCAGTCAGCGCAAATATCACTTATGAAGTCTGCCGCAGTAGCGGACGAAATGTTTGGCACTTCAGGTTCCATTCGACCACGGTCTATCAGTCCATATTCTATTCACTTTGATTCTGATGAGTGGGTTTTGAAAAACAAACACCTTGGAAGCACAGTGGTTATTCGCAGTCTCGTAAACTATATAAAGTACCGAAATAAATCCACCTTTAACTAGATAAATTCTAGCTAGAAAAAAGGTGCTGACTCAAACTCACGATTTTCGTTGGTGAGTCTGACCCACTGCGCCAATTCACTCCTACTCGCATGTTTGTATCAATTATTTTGTATTGTATGGCTTATATAAATCAAAATTACAATATCATTCTGAGATATTCGTTAGTCGATCAAGGATGGTCCGATCCTGAACAAATCTTCGCCGATTTCTAAAATGTTACCGCAATAATAATCACGAAAAAGCCCAATTTTTCTCATCACCGCCATTGCCTGTGTTAAAATCTGCCCCGGAATGTAAAATGGATTTATTATCCTGAGCATGAGCTCGCTGAGATGCAATACTGATTAGAATTTCAAATGTTTTATGAGAAATTGGGCATGGTAGGCATTTAGTCAAGAGAATGCAGAATGGTAATGATGGATGGTTGTTTCATCAGATAGCATTGATAATTAAGTGAGGTTACGTTGGGTCATTCTCGCCAGATCGTGTTTGAAATGGACCGAATTTAATAGGATTCTATTCGGAGATGATTCCGATGGAGTGATACTCTGAAAATTTTCAAACTCGATCACGAAACACATAGATGGAATTGTTTTTGATCAGGAAGGTCATGCAGATATACGGAAATGGGTTCATGATGTTTCATGTTCATATATATTTCAACTGTAAGATTAACAAGTCTTGTCGCAAATTTGTCATAATCAATATTATTGATAAATGTTTTGCAATCTGAACTAGTTAAATACATTCGTGTATCAGCATTTCTGCATTTATCTGAATAATATAGAGCAAAAAGCATGAAGAGCAATTTTAGTTCTACAAACTGAAGTCAGGTGTTCTTCAAGTATCAAGTCTTCCACCATTATTTTTCACAATTTACATATCTTTAATAATCACGCCTTTTTTTCTGCATGTACGAACGAGTGTCAATTTTTACTCTAACCGATACACAAAAAGTTTTATGGTTATAGCATGGGTACTTACGTACAACCTCCTGGATTATCTTCACACTTGCCATGGATTGGATGACAGCCTAATTTACAGGAAGCTGCAAAAAAACATTATTTATACGGTTTTGAAAACTGATTCATACATAAAAGTTAACATAACTGAAATAAGTTCAATTAAATACAGCTATGTTACTGGCATACTCTATTTGAGTTAATAATTATTCAATTTGTACAATACATTTTCAAGAAACCTGATTCAACAAAACAATTTCAGTTAACTACTTTGATATTTTGATTTTATTGTGAAACAATCAAAACATTTTTGAATTCATCGGCATGCCCTTTGGTTTGATGAATTTGACGTGCACATTCCATAGTATTGTGGACAAATTTATTGTATATTGATACTGGCATTAAGAAAGATTCAATGCCATTTGAATTCATTTATATTAGGTGTAGATATTTCACAAAAAACTATTTTTTTTTTCAGTTGTAGACTAGGTTAGGTCCGAATGAGAGACCTTTGATTTCAGGTTTGCTCAATTGTCTATTACAAATCGCACAAAAATTAACGCATCACTTTCAGTTTAGGAGTTTTAGCGATTCATTTCATAAGATTTGTAATTATTGATTCATAGATAGAAGATAGAAATAGAATATTGTCAGTATCAGTATCTTGTGTTTCCTCCTCATGCTCTCATCATAGCTCTCAGACGACGTGGCATATTACCAGTTGAATTATGGATATATTGACGTTCCAAACCATCCCATGCTGAAGTCAGCATATTTTGAAGCTCATATATGATTTAAACTAGCCGACTATGCTGGTAGATTGTTCCACGCGTGCTCAATTGGATTGAAATTTGGGCTTCCTGCAGTCAGCCTGGTTGATAATTCAGCTGTTATATTGTATTCTTTTGGACGAATTTCAACTGCTTGTAGAAATAAATGGAAGTTTCAAGAAGCCGCTGTACCTTTTCTTTGCCCGTAACCGTACTGGCCTGTCTTTCCAGAGCAAGTTAGTTCTCGGGAAATGGTGCTACGCGATTTGCCACATGATGTTAACTATACTTCCCTTGAGCAGTGTAATTACTTTTATTGTTTCCACTTAGTTAAAAGTATGCATTGAAGGGCATGAATTATGATCAGGAGTAGTCAAAACTGAAATCTATCAATAATATGCTAGTCACAAAAATTGCACGATTAGAATAACCTGAATAAAATAATCTGAGGAACTTAATTTTCAGATTTTTTAAGTAACACATTACAGTTGATTCGCGATGCTATCACAAAGTATACAGGGTGCTGCCAAAAAGTAATGAATGTTCCTATGTAATATAAAAAATATAAGTGATGTTTTAATTTTTGTGCGGTTTTGTGTGTTTTGTCAGCCAACGAAAAATAATAACTCACCTCTTTCGCACGTAGATCCCTCCCAACCTTCTATGCATCTCTTCTCACCACTCGAATCACAGATGAAGTGACCGAAAGCGTCGTCTCTCGGTCTACAAAACTTTGTACAAGTCGAATTATAGTAGTGTATATCACATTTGACGCGCACCCTGTATGTCAGGCGAGCGCGGGGTCCCCTGTGGTTCAGGGTGTGCCATTCGGCGCTTGGATCTATTATGCCGGAATAGGTGGCTTCTTCTATTATGTTGTTAGTAGCTGAAAGGAAAAAATGTATCAGATCGTTACACTCTCAGATTAAAAAAATCAATGTACTCGAAGACGAGAATTAATTGATTTAGAAGGATATTGCTTGTCGTATTGATTATTTCTATTATAACTTGGTATGAGACCCATGAGGTTATGAAAAGTGGTTGGATGGAAAAGCAATATCTGTCTTGATTTATCATGTACAGATGTTGAATTTTGCCACTTTTGAGGTTAGGTTAGTATCTTTTGATCAACAAGAGAATTTTTTTTATTTGCATTTTTCTACTTGTATTTATTGTTTTCTAGTGTGTTTTTCATTTCAAGGAAATATTTAGAATTACATTTCCTTGATTCCTTCATTGATTTATTCAAAGTGTGTATTTGATTCCAGATTACCATTTGATAATAAGACTAAAAAAGAGGAATTATGAATATTATGAACTATAAATTCACTACCGCACATTCCAGTTTATACTTTTTTCACGTTCAATGACGAATGAAACAACTGAGTTATAGGCATTATTTCATCCTGAGTTATTTCTTTGCAAGAGTTTCTGACAAAATTGTATGCTAATCATACTATAGATATTTTTGAATCCAGTTGTATTTTTCGAATGAAAGCTTATGCTACGTTTTATATTTTCCAACTGTAATTCAATCAGAAAATAACTTTCGAATGGTAAATTATACCATTAAAAATGAAGTACTTACGATAAGTTCATGAAGAAGTAAATAAGAATTGATATGTGATTTCCAAAACAACATATTTGTTTTTGAAATAGCAAGAAATCAATTTCGTCACAGCTTGATGAATTTTTCTGAATGCTTTCAAAATTGTGAAAGAAATTTCCTTAAACTAAGTCTGTGAAGCATGCTTCAGTGTCGGATAGATCAGTGGTTCTCACCTAAAATTTATATTGGTCAAACTGGGAACCCTTTTTTCAAAAGAATTAAATAGACAGAATTAGACAGAATTAGTTATTCAGAAATCAGTAGATTCAAGAATTCGGAACATTCGCTCCATCAATGAAATTGTCGTAATATTTTTTCTGAAAGATAGTTTTTCTGAGTAGAGATTTTGAGTAGTTTTTATTACATGAGATTGTTCTTAGAATGGTTGAAGTTATTAATTATGTGTTAGAAACACTATTCAAAATTTACTTTAATATTGAACACCCTGAAGAAGCTACTGTATAGTGAGACACGTATTAAGGTTTTGTAAACTGTTTAGTGAAATATAAGATATTGGCTTGAGGGAACAAAATTCAGGGCTAGAAGGCCGTGGTCGGATGGAACCTATAGTAATTAATGAATGTGACTGAAAATCTCACACAAAGTGTCTAAAATATATTTACCAGCGATTTCATAAAGTATCAAACAATTTCATCATAGTTCTCAAAAAAATGTCAATTATGACATGAAACGAATGAAAAATGACATATCTATCTTAATATATATAAATTACATGTCACGTTGTTTGTCCGCGATGGACTCCTAAACTACTTAACCGATTTCAATCAAATTTGCACACCATGTGCAGTTTTATCCAACTTGAAAGATAGGATAGCTTACATCTCAATTTATAGTCGCAATATTATTTAATTGCAAATTATTTGTCTATTATTTGACATTCACAATTATCTGTTACCTCCAAACGATTTAAACAGATGGCGATATCTGTTGCCTGGATTGGGTAAGTAATCAATAGATGGCGCTGCTATGTTAAACCTAAAAACGTGTCATATAAGCTACAAATCAATAGCATAACCACCACGTGTTGTTGAGGATAAATTATAAGCTAAATTTATTTTGAAGTAAACGAAATACAGTGAAATTCAATTGTTTCAACTTTTTGAATTATTGGTGTTAGCATAGCCGGCCACGTGTTACTTAGACTGAAGAGTAAGTTAAATTCATATTATAGTGAAGATAATACAGTGAAATTATTCCTGTGCTGTGTGCTGTGCTTCATTGTTCAAAACTCACAGATATCACATAGTTATAAAAGTTAATTAATATATCCATGAGAAAATGGTACAAAGCTCCCCACACTTTTCCAATAATTGTACAATTTTTTTTGCATTATTTTTATTTAACCTCTATTAAAAAATATATTGCACTTCCCATTTCAATGTGCTATAATAGCATGTTTTTCTCAATTATGCAACGGTACGCGTTTGGTTATCAAAAAGATCACCGGAAATATTCTTGAAGCAACCATTTTAAGTTTAAAGTTCAAAGCAAAAGTGGTCCTGTTGCCACATATTTCAATGATACCATACCCTTCAGAAGGCTACAGTTTCAAATTCGTTTAGCTTTTGCCATGTCTATAAATAAGGCCAAACAATGTCCATTTGTGGTTTATATTTGAAAATCCATGTTTATCTCATGGGTAACTATATGTTGCATGTTCATGTGTAGGGAAACCGTCGAATCTATTTGTGTTAGCTAAAGACAGGTTAACCAAAAATATTGTGCACTGATTATAATTCAAAATAATAAATATTATTGTTAAAGATTTAAGACTATCTGCCCTACCTACCTCATTTCATAAGTTTAAGTGTCACATGTTATTTACTAACAAATTTGTAATATACTCATTTGTTACAAAATTGAATATCCCAATCCAGTGGATTTTTATACCGGCTTCAACGTTTCCGTCTTCGTTCGTGAATAATAATTTCATTGTACTTACGGTAGTAGAAAATCTGTCACTATGGTCGCCATATTTTTTCACAAATGGCACCTATGTAAAAAAGCATGGTGGTCCCCGTGACTGATGTTCTCCTACCGTTCCTCTTAAATAGTTAACTACAATGTAATATAACAAAAACCTTATCCACAGCAACGTGTGGCCGGGTCTGCTAGTTATTTCATATAAAAGAAACCAACAAGTATTTTGTGCAAATTTTAACGGCGACACTGTAAATGATTATTTTAGCAGAAAATAATATTTCTACGGCACTGGTTTTCACACATTGACCCACTCACCCGCCAAAGCGATAATTCACGGAATTCAAAGAGAAGAAGAAGGATTCATTCGTTTTGGCGCATTGCAATCCCTTTGCGTGGTCGCAAATGATTCATAGGAAGTTGCATGAATGGACTCGCTCACGACTGTCCTAAGGGTGTGTAAGTAGTAGTAGGAGGCTGTGAGAGACCGTACACTGCCAATTATGGATGTCCCAGGGCAAGGACGAAATCCATTTGTGGCGCGTACGGCTCTTGTAGTATCTTCATTTAAGGATTTGCTTTTTTCAGGAGTGTCGAAAGTGGTTATGGCGATTGTTCTTTTTAGGGGCGAAAATATTTCATTCAGAAGAATGGACCGCTTTGTTTGGTGTTGGTTCGTTGAGATTTCTCACCGTTAAAATCAGTGAAGCGTTGATATGAAATTTGTGGGTTTGTGGTTCGCGGAAAACACGTGACCTGATATCCCTACACTAAGTTAACCCCCTTTTCAGATACAATTGATATCTTAGACACCATGAGTTCTAGAAAGTAGAACTAACAATGAAAATTGAGAATTGACTAGAATGATATTGCGAGAAAATGTCTTGTGTTTTTTGGATAATTTTCCGACCCCTGACTGGGCGGAATCCTTCTGGGAGAAAAGTATTCAAAATCAGCACCAATTCAACCTAGATACTCCAGCTCTACCGAAGTTTAGAGCTTCCAAAGTTTGAGTTCAATGAACTTTGTAGCCCGATAACCCCGTGTGATTTTCGAAGAACCGTTGTGTGTTCTAAAACTTTGCTACTCCTGGTCCATCTGAGCTGAATACTTGTTGGTAGAGAAATTATACCCAGCACCCACCACAATCTGTCTAGGTTTTTCAATTCTTGGTTTTACGAAAAGGTGGACGATTCTCAACCACAAAAGCAGAAGCAAAAGCATAACACACCAATGAAGGCTTGAATTTGTTTTGTGAGTTATCTTCCATCTTACGTTAACGTATTCAATTAGTTATATGAAACAATTACGAATGATTCTCAGCGATTCTTCATACAACCTCTCTGTGGTCAAAATCGATTACCAATAGACATTTGATACAATATCGCATGAATTCCTCTTTCAATTACTCACATGTTATGCGACACTCTACAAAAAATCGAGATAAGGTTAGATTCTGACCCTCGGAAAAAGAAATCTCCATAGGTTCCTAAGGGTGGTTGAAACTGAAGTACACGTATGCTATAGAACGATGTTGGGAACGGAGTAACTTATAGACTGAAATCAGATGTCACCAACTAGATGCCAGAGAGACGTATATTTACCTGAGGATGGAACAACGCCACTTACTGTAAGAGGTAATCTCAGTGAAAACTCTCTTCGTGGCAAGTAACAGAGCAAATTCTGGCATAGCTAGTCATCGGAACTGTCGGAACTGCCTCAAGAGTTTGAATCCCCCTTTCTGAATGTATCGTGACTATGTGAGAGCTACTAGAAGATTTGGAGCTACTAGAAGATTTGATTTGGTCGATGTTCGATCTCAAAATCTTGCCATCGAAATTATTATGTTTTTCAAGGGAATTGTAAATCTTAAATTTTTAATATTTAGCCTAGAGTTGCAAGCTCTAAAATTTGTACAACAAAGCAGATTGTTTTATGTCATCGCTAACTAATCTTGTTGAAATCATTTAGTTTTTCATTATTCTCAAGGGTTTCCAGTTGGTCTTCTAATGTATGGGTCTTGTCTAATCCACTCACCCTCATAAAATTCAATAATCCCTAATATCTTTACCAAAGCAAACCGTATATTTAGGCATTTTTCCACGTGAATATTGTAAGCTACAAATAGCTAGATTTTAAATTCCTTAATTGTTGCTTGTGTCGCTTATCTTTGGACTTACCCGCTATTATGACCTTTCCTACCTATGTTAGTCCGAGCCTCCCCACAATGACCAGGTTGAACCCCTTCCCCAACTACCGATGTGGAACATTGCATTTTGTAAAATTATTTCATTACGTTTTGAACTTTGTAAGAATACAGTCACAATAAATCTTGT